GTTTTTTTCGACGGGGGATTCAATTACTGCCAGAAAGATGGGAGAAAGTGGTCTCTAATGATGGACAATACTTTGAGTAAAGTTATTGTAAGCCTTATATTTTAAATTAATGTTTTTTTTTAACAAAAAAAACAGCGAGAACTTATTCAAGGTCCTAATAATATTGACTGTTCAGACGACAGTAAAGTAAACTCTGTGTCTAATTGCGCGTCGTTTGTTTCCATGTTAATTTTATTCGAAATAAGTTTCTCAAATTGCAGATTTATTTAAAATAGATTTCAAATTAAATCGTATATCAGATATTTTAATTAAATTTTTTGCAGAATTCTATGGATGAAATGGAGAAGAAGAAGGAGAGGATAATGCTGATGTCGCTGCAGAGAAGACAGAGGCAGGAAGAAATGAAGGAAAGGAAGGAAGCTGAGGCCCAGGCGCAAAGAGAAAAAGAGAAATTGAAAGCGGAGGAAAGAGCTCGCAAGAAAGAGGAGGAACGACAAAGAAGAGCCGCAATCTTGGAACATCACAAAGTGAAGAAGGCGATAGAAGAAGCGGAGAGAGAAGTAAATTCTAAAATAAATATTATAGAAATATAAATTGTCTTTAAATAATAGCATTATTATTAAATTTAATGTTTTTAACTGATGTTTCTAATTACATAATTATATTCTATATTTCATTAAACTATATTTTAGAAATCTATACACACGCAAATTATACATAAATTCATTGTGTACTATTATTATAATATTATTGTATAATATAAATGTCTCTATCGCTCTCTCTCTCTCTCTTTCTCTCTAGGGTAAAGTAATCGATAAGGAGCTCCTGAATGCGATAAATCCAGCAAAATTACGAAACAAGACTGCAACCGCTCGACCACGGCCGAAAACGATTCACGGCGACGCTGGCGCAGTGTTGGATTCCGGAGCTCTTACACCTAGTCGCGGGAAGAAGGGTTCTTCTTCCAACTTGAGTACAGGTAAGACTTCCATTCCATTGCACTTGCAAATGATCTGTTGCAACGATCGATACTTTTTGGGGATCAAATTTGTCGAAAAAATTAAGATTCTCTACATTGATAGAATTTTTTCAACGAAAAAAAAAAGGAATAGCGTGGAAAAATATTACAAGTACTCTCGTTCATGAATTCGTATCTCTAGATTAATCTCCAAAAAGATAGATCTTTTTACAAGTTGTTGTGTCACAATCGCATTCCCCAGTTATAATACTCTAATAGCAACAGTCTTCTCGATGTTGTACCGTAATTTGCACTTATTCATTGCATGGCGAAGATATTTACGATCAGAGCCGTTTTTTTCCGTCGTAATCTTAGTTCGACACCACTCTTTCTGTATTGTTCTTTCTTTTTGTTACAATTGGTTTTTTTTTTTTTTTTTTTTTTTTTTT